ACTCCTCTCCGGACATCATCATTTCTCCTTTGCTTTTTTCAAGAAAAAAACGATTTTAGCCTGCCCTTCGGAGACCTGCTGCCGAGGTCTGATGGGAGCCAAAGAGCATCTCCGCGTGACCACCAAGGAAGCTACGTTAACCTAACATTAGCCTTAACTCTTAGTTAGTGTGCAAGTACATAATTCACGCTTTGTTGTTCCTTCAACCCTCCTTGCTTTGAAACAGTATGTTATTCAGCGACTTACTCTTCTTTCACTTTCGAGAAAAGGATAGAAAGGATGTAAGACACCCCTAAACTCTGATGATGAGGCAATGCTGCCGCAAAGTTATCGGAAAATAAATAGTGTAACTACAATTCTACCAAACTAGTGGTTCTTGAGATCTTCGTAAAAATAATTCGTTTAAATATTTCTGCAAATATTATGCAGTGATCCCTGCTTGTTTCAGCTTAACGCAGTGTGAGAAGCATGAAACGATATAGGCTGTGCTTCTGCAACTTCCTTCTCTTTTCACCCACACAGCTGTTGTTAGAATTCTTCTGCTGCAAACCAAATACGTGATGATTGTAGAATTAGGCACTATTTCAAGAGATTAAGAGCAGGTGAACCCTTCATATTTACTTCCTCATAATAATTCACAAAAAAAGACATCTGCATGCATGCGAAACAATGACGTACAAAGTAGATGAATGCGTATACCCACGCATAAGGCTAAGTATATAAGTTAACAGAAATCAGACTTTGCATGGTAACGTAATGGCCCATTTCGCCTTTGTCCTAGGAGTAAGTCAGCAAATTCCAATATATGCTATATCGTCAGATGGACCTTTGCAGCTTAGCCTGATAGCACTAGCAGTAGCTGATGACTGCAAAAACGAGTTGGGGAAAGATTCGCTCGCAGAGAATCATCGAGATTTGATGACTGCAGGTGTTAAGAAATCTTGCCCCTGGATGGTAAGAATAGAGACTTTGTTCTTCTGCAAATCCAACAAGATCCATCTTAAGAGTATGATTTCAGAAGTACGACTGTAAACTGGAAACATTTGCATTCATGACTCTCCGCGACATGAAAGTGCCAGAGGTGGTACATACGGAGAAATACAATGGGTATATCGCATAGTCAGTTCCACGTGATACAGACTTCAGTAATCACATAATTTTAGTAAGAAAGATAA